CTATTTTTACTGTATTTTATATTGTTTTATTGTATTCTAATATTTATTGCTGTTTTATTGTAAACCGCCCAGAGTCACTTTTTGTGAGATGGGTGGTATCTAAGTTTGAAATATAAATAAACAAACAAACAAATAAATAAATAAAGTAAATTATCCACAATGAGATGGGAAGCTGTTGTTTAAGATCTCCCACCTGATTCCCATTTTACAATCCATCACGCAAGGCCCTTCAAAATTAGCTAGAAGATCATCCAACTGTAAATAGGACTCGCCATCTCTCTCCACCACACCATGGAAGACAGGGACACAGGAACGCAGTGGATCTTGCATCAGCAGTTCAAAGCACTTTTCCTCATTCTCACAGTGGCGTTTCAGAATCGTCCCACCATCAGCTGCCTTGAAACTTCCTGCAGAAACAGAACAATGATGTTGTGGGAGTTTTCAAAGGCCTCTCCTCACAATTCAGTTGCAATACCCCCACTGTCTAGTTCTGCTCCAGTTTAGTGGAAATATAAATTAGTGTCCTGTAAAAAGAATAACCCAAAGCCTGGCAATAAACACCCCTTTCAAAAAAAAATCCTATGAAAAATCTCTACCTGAAACATTTAAATCAATTTAAGCCTAGATACTGCACAAAATATTCACAGAACCAACCGTGTAATGACTAGGAGCTAGATTTAATGATTAAAAATACACAGTCCTACTGCTATGATCAGACCTGTGTTCATGCTGTGCCTGATCTCAGCTTTCAAGAAGCAAGCGAACAGTCACTGATCGTTAAGCACAAACCTAGTCTAGAGGCCTAGCCATGTATTTTTGAGTACACACCCCTGCCCTTCTCTGGGTACAAAAATATACCTGGAACCCTGCAAATCCCACAATTTAACTCCTCGGATGTTCAGAAGGCATAACCACACAAGAAGCAAAATAGAGATTCAAGTCGAGTACAGGCCTAGAGAAAGGTACTTTTTATTATTTATTATTATTATTATTTGTTTATCCCACTTTTATTATTTTTATAAATAACTCAAGGTGGCGAACATACACTGTAGAGAATATTATAATATTAGAGAGGGATCACTTTTCATATCCTGCATCTATTGAGAAAACAAGGCTAAACCTGAATCTTGCATTAAACTTGGCCATCTCAGCTACAGTCCCCAAATTCTATGCAGGCAGAATCAGGAAACAGAAATTTCCTAACTGAAACAGTGGGCAACTGTATTGTTGGATATGAATCCAAGATAAAGATATAGGAACAAGATTATGTTAATAGGGCATATCCTGAAAACTGATCTTTGGAATACAGTGTATATTTCTAATCAATTCAAAACTATTTGCTGAGAAAAGGAAGCCATTGTGTTAGCATATGTGCCAAATCCCCAACTCCTACCCCAGAAGCTGGCAAAAACAACTCTGTAATCTCTACAAGCTTGAGTCATCTTTGGATAATCAAAAGATGGTCTAGAATAAAATACATTATGTTTTTCAATCACATGCCAATTAAACCAGTTAAATCATAGTGAATTTGGAGAGCGTTTTTACTGTTGCTTTTGCATTAATAAAGGCAAGAAAACATGGTGTGAGGAAATCTGATGTTTCAAGGTTCTTGTGGGATTTCAGAGTCACACTGGAACACCTCCATAATCCCAACAGCCCATAATCCAACTGCAGGATTTACTGACCTATCTAATCACTTAATAAGGTCCCATCTTTCCTTACGTTATTATTTAAATGTGCATGGTTGTTAATTCTCAAAATCCAGTACAGATTTTTAAAAATCAGGAATAATGTAAAACACTCTCTTTTCTTGCTCACTCTCCTAAAATAATCTATTTAGAGATAAATGATTGGCTCAGATCATGAGTATTTTTTTTTTTTTTTTTGAGCACGGGGTTCTGTAGGCAGATTCAAAGCTTTCAACTTTACTCATAATTTTTAATTACATTCTACTACAGTAGGCCAATTAAGAAAGAAGGTTCTCACCGGTGTGACCAGCCAGCTGCACCCAAGAATATCGCTTTTTGAAGGGGCTGATGACTGGCAAGTTGACAATCGTTTTTATTGTCTGCCATGCCTTTTTCTGAAACACAAAAAATAAAAGTTAAAAGGGTAATTTCATATCAAACAGCTGGACATTTGTACGAAGAGGTGTAGCATTTATGTACTGTTACAAATCTCTATCAACTTCCAAAATAGACTCACCATTAGATCAATCAGATCCCCATACTGATAATCCCAATAAATTTAGAAGGCATGCTAGTTAAAGGCTATCAAAGGCTTAGGGCTTACTCATGTAATCTAAGATTCACTGTTATAAAGCTTGTTAACAAAATGCTGTTGTAGTGAAGCTCAGACATGCTGCTCTACATTCATATGTAGTTCTGCCTTGTATTTTTCTGGATTACGTTATTCTGATGCCTTGGCTCAATAATCTTTTTTCTTCTTCTTAAAAAGAAATAAGCAACAAGTCCAGGCCCTGCAGGAACCACATGAAATGAAAAGAATGCCTTGCAGGATTGCAGAGGGATCAAGCCTAGTTCCGAGTATGTTCCCTTTCCTGATCAAATTCAAAGGCTTATGCGCTTCTTCCACTGAGTAAATGAAAGCTAGTTATTCATTCATCATCTAGACTTAAGTCTCCAAGATTTTTATTTTCCATGGTGAATAAATAAATACAGGCATGCACAGACATACACACCCACACATCAGATCTTTCAGCTACATCAAAGATCAAGGTAACTGGCTAGGTGAGAGAATGACTTTCTAAGCAGAGACTGTCACCTCTATTCAGGTTTAAGTGTATTTTGTTGCTCAAATCAGGCTGCTGCCCTAAGTTCCTGCAATGGAAAATGCACAGAGCTTCTGCATGGATTGTCCAGGTAAATGCTTTTCCCTCTCTCCATCCTACTCTTGGCAAAAAATCTGCTGAACTTCCAACATGGTGGACTCATGTGCTGAAACCTATTCCCATGCCGAGACTGCTTTTCATGCCTATGTGCATTCTCACAGCAAAATCCCCATGTACCATTCAACTCCTTTACCCTGTCTAGAAAATTATGCTAATATATTCTGGAGTATCACTGAATGGAAAACGGCACATTTTTCTGTGACTAACTGGATTCACTAATTGCATACTTTATTTAAAATATTTTTTAGTTAGAACATGTAAGAAAAATGGCACGAGGCTGATGGAGAAAAAATACTGAGGTTTTTTAAAAACAATTAATTACTATTAGGAATGGGGGAGGAATCCTCTTGCTTAGCCATCCTACACTGCTTAATTTTCATGACCCCTGGAATCTTTCTTCTTTTTCTCTAATAAAATCCAACTTGTTCTTCTTTTTAAACAACATCAATTCTGCATTTTTTTCTACCTTCCTGAAAGGTAGAAAAAAATGTACTGTACTGAATACTGTTTCACACTCAACAGTAAAAGCCTACACAAGCCCACAAAATGCTTTTATGTTAGTGAGAAACAAAAGGGGTTAGATTAATTACCAATCATCCTTTTCTTTTTTTCACATTTGTACATTCTTAGGGAGAAGCTGATAATTTAAGGTTCACTGTGTTACAGCTAAATATGTGCAGAATATTTAATGTTGTCATATATTGGAGATCAAGTCCTATTTTAGCAGGTACAGTATTTCAACAAACAGCCCTCCAGATCCCTCTGTGAAGTCAAAAGGAAGGTGTGATTGTGGCTGTCAGCCAGAATACTAACCTTCTCCAAACTGGTGACATTCTGATGTAAAGAACTAAAACTTCCACCATACCCTCCAAGCCAGCACGCTGCCTAGGGATAATGCAAATTGTAGAAGCATACTAGAAGGTACCAAATTGGGAAAACTGCAGTACAGGTAGTCCTCGACTTACAATCATTCATTCAGTGACCATTTAAAGTTACAAAGGCGCTGAATTGACTTACGACCCGTGCCCAAAGTTATGGCTGTTGCAGCACCCCCACGGTCATGTGTTCAAAATTTGGGCATTTGGCAGCCCGTCCACACTTACGACTGCAGGGGCACTTCAACTGCCCCCTACCTGCCTATCTCCTCCCCTTTTGGCCCCCTGCCACCCTGCACCCCACCGCCCCAGCTGACCTTCACTGTCTTTTTTTTCCTACTTCTTATGAGGCGTGACTGTGCTGGGTGCCTGGGCGGGCTGG